GATGGTGGCCAAGGCAGTGTCGCAGCTCCTACCTGGCCGGAATCCGTGCTGTGACATGGAGAGGGTTTTGCTGTCGAGCAAAAAATCCAGGAGACTCCGATTGACTAGCCTCTCGAAGGTCCTGCAGAGAATTGATGTCACGGAGACCGGTAGATAGGAGGAAACATTATTCGTGGGCTTGCCTTTACCCTTGTGGATGGGTGTCACCAGAGCCCTCTTCCATGTGTCTGGGACCACAGACACATGGAACAGGAGTGAATTCCATAACGTTCCTTTTGCAAGTTGGGCGGAAAACTACTGCCTGCTTCTTTGGTTTGCCACCAGCTGCGAGTGGCGCTGATTCTCTTTCTGTTGAACGCTTGTCCACTTCCTGGGATTCTTGTACCGACATTTTATTGACGGCGGCAGAAGTCGTTGACTTGCCTTTTTTTCATTCGAACTTTTGCTAGTTGAGGTTCCTTGTACTGCTACATTGGTGGCGGTCTTTGGTTGTCTAGCCTTCGGTTTTTTGTATGTAACCACTTTGAAATCTGCCCAATCATCCGCGGTCTGGTGGTCCTCTACCATCTCGATTTCCTCTGAAGAGGTGGCTATGTGTTCTTTTACTGCTTCTCTCATCGCGCTTACTCCACGAGGTTGCTTTCTCTTGTGGTTCTGTTCTACTGTGAAAGCTTCGAAGGATTCCCAATCCGTTTCACGGAATTTTTTTCATCAAACACTGAAGTTCTTCTTTGTTCGAATAAAGTAATCGAAATCTTCTTTCATTGTGATGAAGTTTGAGATGGCGTCTTTGTTCTCGAGGCAAAATTTTAAGTAAGTGTCGCTTCCTCTGTATACAATGACGTTGCTGCCCTGGGTGTTGATTTGCTCCAGGTTTACAGTTTGAGCCGGAATGCCATTCGCCGATGTTGAAGACGTTCCTCGCTTTTCTTGCAACTGCAGTACTTGCGTTGCTGGCACGACGCCAATAGGTCTCTCGTCGCTAGCAGCGGGTCTGTTGTGCGGCGGTCCTAGTGGCATGGCTAGGTTGCCGTCCGGTGCCGTGACCTTGTGTTGTTTGGAGACCGGTCGCTTCGCTGCGTTTCCTTAGAAGGTCAGCCTTTTTCTTTCTTTACTATTTTCTCAGGTAAGTTCTCTCTTTGCAAATTTTACAAAACAAAGGCACCATCTGTGGGCAACGCTGCACAAAGTCGTAGCGTGATAGATTAAGAAACCGAATTTTGCGGTCGATTTAAAGAGCCTGGCGTCTCCTTGAATCACCCTGCATAACATTTAGTAACGGCAATCGTAAAACATGTTATTTAACGCAATTGCGAACGCACTACATTTTGAATTACCAAAAATCAGAGTTCGGTGTGATGTCGCTTCCTGGATTGGTATCCTCCCTCGGAAAACTTGGCGGCGCTCGAGCAGAGGATGATCGGCGTGTCCGGGAAGAAACCGTTTTTTTTCCCGCGCCGGCGCCCTTCTATCCCGTATGCACACCTCCTCGCTTCGGGTCGCGGTGGCAACGGCACTTTGCTTCGTAACGTGGACCGGAGGTCCGATAGAAAGTTGAGTCGCAGGAGACCGCAAAATTTGACTCACTGCACTGGCACGGACCGCGCGGGAACTTCAAATTCGGCATTTGGAAATTGTTTTTTTATTTCACAAATACTGAATTCCCAAGTTTCGAATTTTGAGGATGATGTCTCGGCATCGTTTTCAATCGTTTCGGATAATTAAAAAAAACATATGATTTTGATATGTCAGTGCCTCTTTAACTTGTCACCTCTTTATACAAGACGGCACCTCGCACGCTTATAATTTATTCATAAACGTTATTACAGTCCCTCGCCTTTTAGAGACTCTTACTTAGTACCGGCACAGACCAACACGCGGCCCTGACGTCACGCAGCTGCAGTGGCGCTGTCGACGGCACTGCGCATGTGCAGACGCTTCACGCGAATTCGAATTTTGTGCACGCGCAGTGCCCACACCTGGTGTGGCCAAACGCTACCTTGTTTGTAAACAGCGTGTCGCGGCACTGACGTCACGCAGCTGCAGTGGCGCTGTCGACGGCACTGCGCATGTGCAGACGCTTCACGCGAATTCGAATTTTGTGCACGCGCAGTGCCCACACCTGGTGCGCCCAAACGCGACCTTGTTCGTAAACAGCGTGTCGCGGCACTAACGTCATGCAGCTGCAGTGGCGCTGTCGACGGCACTGCGCATGTGCAGACGCTTCACGCGAATTCGGTTTTTGTGCACGCGCAGTGCCCACACCTGGTGTGGCCAAACGCGACCTTGTTTGCAAACAGCGTGTCGCGGCACTGACGTCACGCAGCTGGAGTGGCGCTGTCGACGGCACTGCGCATGTGCAGACGCTTCGCGCGAATTCGGTTTTTGTGCACGCGAAGTGCCCACACCTGGTGTGGCCAAACGCTACCTTGTTAGTAAACAGCGTGTCGCGGCACTGACGTCACGCAGCTGCAGTGGCGCTGTCGACGGCACTGCGCATGTGCAGACGCTTCACGCGAATTCGGTTTTTGTGCACGCGCAGTGCCCACACCTGGTGTGGCCAAACGCGACCTTGTTTGTAAACAGCGTGTCGCGGCACTGACGCCACGCAGCTGCGGCGGCAGTGTCGACGGCACTGCGCATGTGCAGACGCTTCACGCGAATTCGAATTTTGTGCACGCGCAGTGCCCACACCTGGTGTGGCCAAACACGACCTTGTTTGTAAACAGAGTGTCGCGGCACTGACGTCACGCAGCCGGGGCGGCGCTGTCGACGGCACTGCGCATGTGCAGACGCTTCACGCGAATTCGGTTTTTGTGCACGCGCGGTGCCCCCTGGTGTGGCCAAACGCGACCTTGTTTGTAAACAGCGTGTCGCGGCACTGAGGTCACGCAGGTGCAGTGGCGCTGTCGACGGCACTGCGCATGTGCAGACGCTTCAGGCGAATTCGGTTTTTGCGCGCGCGGTGCCCACACCTGGTGCGGGCAAACATGACCTTGTTTGCAAACAGCGTGTCGCGGCACTGACGTCACGCAGCTGCGGCGGCGCTGTCGACGGCACTGCGCATGTGCAGACGCTTCACGCAAATTCGGTTTTTGCGCGCGCGGTGCACACACCTGGTGCGGGCAAACATGACCTTGTTTGTAAACAGCGTGTCGCGGCACTGACGTCACGAAGCTGCGGCGGCGCTGTCGACGGCACAGCGCATGTGCAGACGCTTCACGCGAATTCGGTTTTTGCGCGCGCGGTGCCCGCACCTGGTGCGGGCAAACATGACCTTGTTTGTAAACAGCGTGTCGGTTTATATAGATCGTTCCACTAGGAAGAGCGGAGACGGGAAAAAAATGCTTTCCCCCTCTCACCCCGCGCATCCTCTGCTCCGCCGAGTGGGCTGTACCTAACATCTGGCTGGCGTTGAAACTCGGTTTCGAATCGTGTCATTGTAGAAATGTAAAGCGCAGCTGGGCAGATTTTATATCCAAGTGATCGTGTAAGGCAATGCTTCATAAAAAGTCTAACCGGACCTTATTGTACTGTTTGTTACCTGCGTGCAAATAAAAAAAAAAGGAAATGGGAAAATTGTGTCAGAGTGGCCGGTCCTCCGGCGAAAAGTAAGTCCGGTTGCTGTAGCTTTTTTACTATACAAAGTTCGTACTGCTGTAGGCCTTTAGCGACAATGAGTGGAAGTCTGGAATAGTAAATGAAAACGTGCTCTCCTGACGCATTGGACGCAGTGGTTGAGGGTAGTACTGCCGGCTGACTCCACTGCCACTGAAGTAACGGAACAAAAATACGCTAGTCGATACTGAAATAAAACAACAGAGCGCTATAGACTGATTTTGGAGTGGCTATAAATATTCTAAGAACGCGAACCACTTCACAACGACAGCCACGAGCGAGAGTTCGATGTTCGGTACAGCCCGGCGGTACAGCCCAAGGATGCTAGCAGAATCGGGTGCCTGCCCTCTGTCTCGTTTTACCCTACCGAACCCGCTGAACTTCCCGGATGTCTGGAGAGGGCGCTGCGGTGGAAGAAAATGGCGCCACCCTGAGAGCGTTAAATGGAATGGCCTATATCGTCCCGCTTAGGTCACCCCTTCAAAATTAACCCCATATATGCACGAACCAACATGTTTAAACACTCCACTACTCCTCGCTATACCGGACTGGAACAGCGTCCCAGAGAAATTGCCTCCATCAGTGACCGTCAGTCATTTGACTTTGCACTAGACATGTTGCACCTTGAATAGTCTTGTATCCCTGCAATATGTATTGTTGTCAATGTCTTGTTTCTGATGTATGTTTTTATTGTGCGCTATCTCTTTTATATCTTATGTTTGAAGGCCAAAATTGCGCCAAAAGCTTTCTACCTTCAATTTATACTTTTGTACCTTTATTTTTCATCTTTGTTTCTTTTTGTGGCCACTTGGTTCAGTTGTACGAATTTCCGTATCCTTTTATGTAATGCCCGAAAGGGCCTTTAAGGTTAAATACATAAATAAACTTTTTTTAAAAAAGGTTCACCACGAAGCATACGCGCCTGTTCTTTTCCGCAGTCAGAACCGTCGCATCCTTGGAGTGACCCCAACCGCTACCCAGGCGCCTGCCTGGGATGTGGCAGCGAGCACCCTAACTTGCACCACTCCATCTGGAAATGCCCCCCCGCCCCCCGGTGAGGGTATGACCCCCATTCCTTGCGCAACCCTCTACTCCTGGGAGGCGGCCCTATCCGGCTCCGAGCTCGATGACCAGCAGCGACTGGTTGAGCGAGCCCGCCGGATCTGGGCGGCCAACGGAGCCCTAGACTAAGTAAGGGCACCGACCAGAGACCGCAAGGTGCTTTCACTTTTCGGACAATATTAAAGTTTACGATGATGATGACGCCACAAGTTGGTGCATGCTGCACAATAGATGCGCATAAATTCTTAATTTATTTTCGAACAATTTAAAGCTCATGGCACGTTGAATATGTAGGGACGCCGCTGCGGCAGTGAGAGCGGCTACTTCTTCTTGAGTGCGAAGATCTGTCCGTCGCTCTTGAAGCGATAATCCTGGATCTTCTTTCGCACGACCAGCTCCATGCGGAGCTGCTTGCATAGGGTGTGCAGCGTGGCCGTGAACCGCGCCTCCAGGAACTGCTCCGACTTGTGCTCGTAGTGGTCCAGTGTCCGGTGGATCCACATCAGGTAGCCCGAAGCTGGGAGGACGAGAGGGAACACCTTTTAGCCGGCGGCGAAGAGGACGCTGTGTCTCGAGTGGACTGGGGCCACAATATATAAAAAAGGCTTAGAGTAGTGGCCCCACGGGTTTCCCCAGGAATTGAAATTAGGGGGTGGGGGTGTTAGATTGAGAATAGAGGATTCGTTCCGAATTAAGGGGGTGCCTTATTCAGAAGGACAAGGGGGTGTGCATTGAAGTTACAGAGTGGACCTCAGTTCTCCGGATTTTTCGTGAGTGCTGCCAGTTCGGTGCTTATTGCGGGGCGTCCCCAATCGGCGATAGTTTGGATTCGAAGATGCGACTTGCGATATTACCTTGCTCAGTCGCGGACGGTTTTAACGTTTCTAATGGAGGGAAAAGCGTTTCGTGCGATTTCAGATAAAGTTTCAGAGATCCTTGCAACAATGATGTTAAGCATCGCGACAGCTTAAATGTCGTGACTCTCAACTGTAGCTTACTGAATGGCTCTAGGACGAACTGACCAGTTGTCGACCTGTTGCCACGTGGCCACGCTGTCCGCCTGCGAGTGCTCTGCGCGAGTACAATCAAGCTATTGCTGCCTTTGTCTCGACTGCACTCGTCGAACCCGTTAGAACGCCGCCGTCCGGTGTTTCACCCTTGTATTCGAACGCGTTTGACAAGTGCAGCAGGGACCAAGACATCCATTGTCTCCACGGCACTCATTCAACGCGTAAGAAGGCAGGACGGCGTCGTCCGCCTTTTGACTCTCGCAGTGGAACACGTTCAGCGAGTGCAATGGAGTCTGAGGCAGCTATAGCTTTGTCTACTCGCTAGTCATTCGAACCAGAGCTTGACGTTCTGATGTCTCCGCGGCTCTGTATTTTAGGCCCGTCGGAACTAAAGAGAGAACTAGAGACGACGCAGGGTGACTCACATCTCACAAGCCTTCCCAGCTCGTGAAGGGCATCGGGCATAATGTGTCCAGGCATGAGGGAACCGCAGAGCACCACCACGTCGTATTCACCTGGAGAACATGCACACCTGTAGTAGGGATAGTGTCACGTAGCCAAAATGTGGCGGAAATGACGTCATGCATTACTTCCCCGTGCAGTCTGCTGCCCTATCTACACAAGGGAAGCGGCAAGTGCTGACATGCAACAGCCACATATATATATATATATATATATGAATACGCCCAATAAAAATACAAGAACATATCAGATCGTATAACATACTAAATCAGCACTTTTTTGACAAACAAGTCAGCGTTTGCCCACACCGGGTTCTGGCACTGCGCGTGCGTAGAACGCAACGCCGGGACATCAGAGTTGCCCGTTGGTCTATGAGGTGGTATAAATCTCGAAACCCTCGTTTTCATGTCGGCCTTTTCAACGAACGGACGAAAGACGCTTTACAGCAGCTGTGCAAGGGCGCCGCCATAACCGACCTTCAGTTTTTGTTTCCTCTTATTACATTTACTTCCCTTCATCGTTACCACAGCATGGCAGGTTATTGTCATTTTAAGTTCTACCGAGTCCTTCTCCACAGCATTGGTCTTTGTGAAGGTTCGTCAACGACCGCTTTAGTGGCTCGGCATCTGGCAAAAGACAAGAGAAGGTCAGCAATGGCGGCTGTAATTTGACGCGTCTGTAAAGTGTCAACTCTATACAAATTAGAAGCTAGCCATTTGGGGTCCTGATATAATCCCCGCATTGTAGTCTGTTCGAGTATGGACTATGAAAGTGATGTAACAAAACACTGCGCATTATTGTTCCTTCGATGAATAAGTTATGCTTTCATTCGAGAATGTATTCTTGAACAAACCTTCTCCACCTTGGGGACCTTCTCTTATAATCATGATAACCCATTACAGTGAACGTAAGTTTAAGAAACGCGGGGCGCGGCTTGTTGTGTTTATACTTCCTCCTTGGGCATTTTTATCGGCCAATGGAGCAAGCTCATCTAATGGAGCGAGCTATAATTTGCTCCGGAGGGGTAATCCTCGTCACGCCCGCATTTCTTAAGCTGTCGGTGATTATAAACACTAGCGAAAGTGACTAGAACCACTAGAGGGACGGCGCTAAGTTGCTCTTTACTAATGAATAGTAAAGTTGCAGCATGAAATTAAGTCGGCCTAGCTGGTACAGAAAAATTAAATAGTAAAACAGGAATAAAAAAGATGGATGGATGGACGAATGAATGGATGGATGGAACGGCGGCACCCTTTACAACGGGCGGTAGCTTGCGCCCCCTATCATAGAAACCCCAAGTAGGACCAAGGACACAAGGAAGAGATACACACAAAAGCGCTGATTGTCAAGTAAACTGTTGACAGTTGGCGTCTCGTGTATGCATCGCATCTCTTTGGGGTGTTCTTCGTCTCTTATAGGGCTGTTTTATCATTTTATTTTTGGTAAGGTTCCATTAACTCAAAAATGAATTCAATGACCCTTCGCATTGCTACAAGGCAACAGCTATCAAACCGCAAAAGTTACTTGTACGAAGAAGCAAAGTGTACCGGTGAGCACACGCACCGTCCCGGAGCGGGATCTTGGAGTTCCTGGCGACCTTTTCGAGGAAGTGCCTCTTGTAGACGCACTTCTTCTTGGCCTCGCCCATCATCTCTTCACTATAGTCCAGAGCGTCAATCAGGGAATAGCCCAGGTTCTTGAGCTGTCCCGCAGCACAGAAGGAGAAAGAACACTTAAGGGGGGTTCACACATTGGCTTTTGAGTATGACCACGATGCCTGGGACGCATATCCGACTGGAGTGCCTATAGTGCCCCCTTTCGCCCTAGCAGCGAAAGTGGACCCCCAATGGCAACAAGTGAAGTAAAATAGAAGCCGGAGCTGCTGCAAGAAACTAGTATGGCCAACAATTGAAATAACACACTGCAGGCACCAACGTTACTAGATTACCTCAGTTGTAGAACTCTCGCGGAAGGGGGTAAGCTCCTTACCCCCCTCCGTCCGCCTCCCGTAAAGCACTGGATATTCTGATTTATCTAAGTACCGCCTTCGAGTGATCGTGCCGCGGGCGCTCCTATTGATAGACGGTGACACGTCGCCATTTTTGGCTCATGGCGCTTCCCGCATCCAGACGCGCGCGTTCTTATTGGTCTGCTCTGGCTGCCGGTGACGCGCCGCCGTTTGCAAGAACGCTCTTATTGGTGTACTGTAGATTCTGGCGCTGCGCCGCCGCGACAAACTATGTTGGCGGCAGGGTTGGGCAGTATCGCGATACAAATTTATCGCGATAGTATTTCAGAAATACATTTCGTATCTGTATTTCTGTATCGCGATACATTTTTTTCACCAGTATCTGTATTCCTGTATCGAAATACATTTGATATGTTTCTTTGTATCGCGATACAATCAGCATAAAATGTATTTCGTTACATTTCTTGAGAAATACCCCCCCCCCCCCCTCTGAAAAAAAAAAAAAAAAATCCAGACGCTTTTTTTTTTTCTTCTGAGGGCACCCGGGCCAAGGTGGTACTGGGACATTGTTAGTGTGCTGACAAAGGCTCCTTTCGATTTCCCGAACTATTGTTCTATGCTTCGTCTTCTTTCTTCTGAGAAGTGCTGCGTAGTCGGGGACTCGAACCAGGTGGCGTGCCAGAAGTGGAGTCGGAGCATCTTGTGCCTCAGGTCCTTAGGTAGGGATTTCTTGAGTCATTGTTTGCTGGGATCCAAAGCCCGCTGCTAACCGTCTCTCTTGCCGGGCGGTGGTTGGCTTGAAATAGTAGGATCACTCACGCAGTGAAGTTCAACACATATTCGAATGCGTCTGCGGCTGCGCCCATAATACTGCACGGCTCAAGGGTACGTGATCAGCCGACGTGAACGTGACCCGCTGCTCTGACGATCCGAAACCCAGGAAGGAGGCCAGACGTGGCCTCGCGATGCCGACTCAGACTCCGTACAGCTGCGACTCGTCTCAAGCGCGCTGTTTCTCGGAGAGTTCGTACCTGTGCCGGCAGTATAAGGTCGCAATCCACGAGGTCTCTTTGGATCATGCCAAGTGAGACTTGAGGACTGCAATCCATGCGTCGGTGGCGGAGGGTCGGCAGAAAGGACCTTCGCAACATGGGCGCTAACGTATCGTTTTTTCAGCCTTAACAGACGATAAGACATGTGTTTCAGGATGCTTCAGGTGGTCCACTATTCTCAAAAATTCCAAATGACACTGCCTGCACAATCTTCAACGAGGTAACCTACAACGAAAGTATGCATCGACCTTTCATACAACAGCGTGGTAAATTTTCATGTTTTAGACCACACCAACAGATAAAGAATACGAGTTCATTCCGCCGTGACGTCATGTGATCAATGTTGACAGGGGCATCCTTATTGGTCAGGGGCGTTGTGACGTTTTGGTGGGATTCAGGGTGACATCGAATTTTAGAGGTCGAAGTCTTTTCGCATCCCTCGTCAGACAGACAGGATGTCAGAGAAGGGATTGCGGCCAGTCCTAGATGGAATGTTTCCTTTGACTCCATTGAAGACTCCTAACTGTTCGAAACCACTTCCTTCAAGGCATAGTGCCATGCCTACGGGAAAGTAATCTCGGGATCAAAAACTTCCACTTCCAACTTCAAGCTTCACCTCATTTGGCATCTCAAGCAAATTCGAAGAATGTATTGCAGTATCAGTATTTCTGCATTTGTATTTCTGCCCTTTCTAAAATGTATTCCTGTATTTGTATTTCCAAATACTTTTTGCCTCTATTTGAAATGTATTTCCGATACGTATCGCGATACATTTTTAGAGATATATTTCAGTATCAGTATTTCAGCTACTATTTTAAAGTATCCCAGTATTTGTATTTCCAAATACATTTTTGGGTATTTCTGCCCAACCCTGGTTGGCGGCGACGCTCTGCCAATTATGGCTCAAGTGCGTCCCAGCAAGTGCATCTGCTAACCAAAAGTTAGACGTCAGTAGAGCAAACGGGCGTTATCAGCTGCCACAAGGGTGAATGGCCTGCACATTAAGGTAATTATGATAATGCAATACGCCTCGCAAGTGGGCTCATTTTCGTCTTCTGCGCATGAGAAAGGAAGTAGTGGTGACGTCAGAACGCCGAGCCCTGATTGGCTGATCGCGACCCCCTATCGCAGCGTCGTCTGCTCCTTTGCAACGTCGTCTGCTCGCAACGTCGTCTGGGTCTGTCTTACCTTTCCTGCGACTTTCGGAAATTGAGCGAGCTCGACTTCGCCTTTCAGAGAGGGCGGACGAAATAACTCGAACGGTACGTTGTTTTTCTCTAACAACTAGCAGACACGCATAAAGGGGGGAAGTCAAAGGACTCTGGCGAGGTGTCCCGAGGCGCCGAGGTTTGTTTGCTAAGAACCGAGAGTGAGCGTGTTAGTGTCCGCAAGTTCCCTCCCAAATACTTGTTCCCTCCTTTCGTGTGCGGCGAAACCCCTCACTCTTTAACGGCGTCGGCGGGTTGGCGCAGTAACGTCGTCTGCTTTACGTCTGCTAGTCAAAGCGATGGCTGCTTTACCCTTCCTGCGTCTGTCGGAGATTCACCGCTTTTTCACCGGCGAGAGTCACCGTTGCCTCGGGAAACTAAGAGATAACAAGAGGAAGAAATTGACCTTTTAATCTAAAATTGAGGTCAGCGATCAAAGTATAATACGGGAACGGTTCACAAGGGTCGCGCGGGCATATTCCATTCAGCACGCCAGCCGGCCGTGGGCAGACGGTCGCCGAGTTGCGGCGGAGTGCCTGCTAGGCCTAACTGCGGAGCTCGCTTGGTCGCGTTCGGTGGAATCGTGGCCACTGACGCTTTTCCCGGGCGTTTGTGGATCCAGCGTTCTTGTTCGTCGCGGTCTGTTTCAAGTGCTTTTTAATTTTTTCCTGCTGCTTGAAGTCGGGACGCGTGAGAAGCGCACGTAGAAAAATAAACGTCCGTAAGTCGTCGCGACCGCGAAGCTGTCGGCCATGCTGATTTGATCGTAAGACAGCTTCGGAACTGTCGTAGGATTTCGTCGTAACCTGCGCAAAACTTACGAAAATTTCGTTTCGTGAATGAATTTGTTCTCAAGTTTTGTCTTACGCATATTTTTGGCATAAGATCGTTTTGTGAACCTGACCTCTGGCCTCTGCACTTTCGAAAGTCGCAGGAAAGGTAAGACAGACGCAGACGACGTTGCGAGCAGACAACGTTGCAGAGGAGCAGACGACGCCCAGATAGGGGGTCGCGATCAGCCAATCAGGGCTCGGCGTTCTGACGTCACCGCTACCCGCTGCGCAAGAAGCAGACGAACTTGTCCTCCGCATTAATGCAAAGGTGCAAGCGAGCTGGACAAGAATGACGATACTAAACCACGGAGAAGGGGACCAAGGGGGACATAGGACAAACACAAGGCTCCAAACACAGCTGGGTGACTGGTGCGCGACGGAAAAGAATCCGCCTTGTCCTGGTAACCAGGCGCGTCTGGAGTGGAGCACTCTACCAACTGAGCTAACCAGGAGTTAAACGTTAGTAGAGTATTGTCATTCTTGTCCAGCTCGCTTGCACCTTTGCAATGATTGCACTATCAAAATTGAAAGTACAGTTTAATTAACAGCTGTTTTATTCATGTAGCCCAAACCATACTAAAACCGAAAACAGCTTGATTTTTTTAGTAAGCTAATAGCGAGCTAGTTTCACGGCACTCGTGCCCACGCGTGCCCACTCGCAGCGTGAGCGGGTTCGTTTCGGCCGGCACTCCACTGGTTGCACTCTCCGAGTTCGTTTCAGCGCCAGCACCCCACGCGTGTATGCACTTTCCGCACCACAGAAATCGTGCGTGCGCCAAAATGCAATCCCGTCATACCCCGCTCTGGCGAGGAGCAGGAGCAGACGACAAGGGGTCGTCTGCTACGATCCGTCATTCGTACAGCGGAAGCGAAAGGAAAATAAGTAGGTTTTCTGATAGAAATCGTGTCCCGCGGGCAACGGAATCAAACACGAGCTTGAATTGTGAGCGTCTGCTGTTTCATGAGAGAAGCAATTGACAACCCGTGCTTTATTTGCGTTTTTAGTCGCTCTGTTGCCGTACAAACGATAAAATATACCAGTGTGTAAAGAAATGCTCAAAACAAACGCATCAGCGGGCCCCGAGATCTTTATCGCCATCCGTGTGCGGGTGAAAAATTGAACATTTGTCGACAAAGATCCCCCAGCTGAAACCTGTGACTGCCCAATAAGCATCTGAGAAAACTAAGCATAGTAACTTTGCCCGAGGCTTGGGCAACATCATCATGTTTAACATTTACCTACGTCAGCTATCTTGCCCCGTCGTATTTTGTTCGAGGAAGCTCTCGTTCTCGACGCCCTCACCAAGGCTAAAATCTGATCCACCTGTAACTAGATCAAAATCGAAAGTCCCTCGAAACGTTTTGCTGGATATTCCAACAGATCAGTTTTCAGCCGTACCCTTCCAGTGGTTCACGCATAATACCATGATCAAACGGATCAAGAGTCTGCGCGGACAGCGTCATCAGTTTTCTCCAGTGTAAACCCCAGCTGCTTTGTGGTCAGCTGGTTGCGGAAATTTACGCCGTCTATAACTATCTCTACGAGAGCCGAGTTGGTTGAAGTCGTCGCAAATAAAAACTACAGGTTGCAGCGACCAACGTTTATAGATAAACGTTGGTAGCGACTGCACTCTCGCATTCTCAACCATCACGTCGAACAGAAATCCGTTAGTTTGGGTTTGAGGTCGGTACTCTTAGTGCAACATAGATGCCGACAGCATCTGTCTTTTGCACTCGGTGCATTTGGCAAGTTGGTTTGAGGCCAGTTTTCCGTGCAACATTCCGCGAGTACGATGCATTCTGGAAGAGAACTCGAACGGTGCCAGCGCGTGTGGAACAAACTCGCTATAAAACTCTTATTCGCTCTTTCTCGCGTTTCGATTCTTTTTTTTTTCAATAAGGCATTATTTTTTAAGTTTTTGTTTTGTTCTTACACGTCATGATTTGCTTGCACGACGTTATGTAACCGATGAACGAAGTGAAAGGCAGAAAAAAAGCTCACTGATGATTTGCGCAGAAGAGGAATGTCTTTTACTCCTTTTCAGTATTATATTTCTTGCTTGATTAATATTTTTTTTAAAATTTAAATACAAAGCAAATGCACATCGGAAGCATCAAATGGTAAATAAAAATTCTGAAAACACATAAGCACTTCTCATAAGTTGTGAACGCGAAAGCATCCCTGGCTCGCTGGTGACCGCTGCGCCGCTGGGTGAGGCAGCGGCTGGAGAGCGAAGCTCGGCGCGGCGCATGCTGATATCACTTGTCCTCTCATCAGCATTATCGCCCTAGCTTTGCCTAGCTGCCCATACCGGTTGACGACATTAGACCTCAAAGCGTAACAATAGGCCTAACGTTAGGCTTACGTCAGGCCAGCGCAGGCACGTTGCAGAGGGGGGGGGGGGGGGGGGGGGGGGGGGCGAAATCCTCCATTTTGATGGCACCTCCTCTCCCCCCCCTCTCTCATATATCATTTTGTCATGGCCGAAGACCCCCTCCCCTCCCCTCCCCCCTCTCCCCCCCCCCCCCCCTCCCCTCCCCCCCCCCCCCCCCCCCCGGCCACCGAAATAAAATCCTGGCTAGGTGCCTGGGCCAGCGCATATCCGCGATTCCCCCTCCCGCTGCGCCGCCAGCAGCTCGGCTGGCCCCTTAGCAACGATGGCACCATTGCTAAAGAGCCACATGACGCGTCGCAACCAATGAGAATTTAGGTCCCGTTTCGCTTAGGGGAATTTAGTTGCCGTTTTTCGCAGCTACAGACGAAATTTAGGTGCCGTTTCGCTCAGCCAATGGGAATCGAGGTGCCGTTTATCGCTGCTACACACAACTATAATGCCGGCTTCGCTCAGACAACACCGATTCGCTTCATTGGACAGTTAATGGTTTCGCATTAAAACGTTTTTTTGTAATTAATTTTACGGAAAAGGTCTGATTTGAATCATCGTAGAACAACGGTCTGATTCAAATCAGCTTGAAAGTTTATTCTGCTCGCAATGCTGGTTCCCGGGCATGGGCACTGCCCACAGCTGGGATTGGAAAACCTTCGCCCGTTCGAAACAGTGCGTTGCTCTACAGCTGGTTCGAAGTGCACTCAGCCATGGCCTAAGAGTTTACGACTCAGCACTCGCCTGGACCCCCAGGAGACCGGTCCCACATCCGACGTCCAGTATGATGGCATCCTTCTTGATCTTGAGCTCCTGGTTGATGAAGTGCGCCATAATGTTGGGGGCCCTGTACTTTTGCATGCTCATGTCCTGGGAAAAAACAAAAGCGCGTTCCGTAAACACAGTATAACGTCATAAATAAAGAAAAAAAATAGCTCAGCTGTATGGGAGCCTCGAGTATGTGGCTTGCAATTCAAGTATGAGAACCTGAAAATCTGTTTGTAAAAGAAGGAATGGACGGCGTTAGAGTGTCTCGAAACGGAGCGATGACTCTGTAGTCACAGATAGCCGAAGCAGGGCGTGGCTCATTATGATCCCGCTTATTACTTCGTGATTGGTTCTTCGGAGTGTTTAGTGGACAGTTCTTCAATCTCATTGGCTGCTGGAAGATATCGCCATCTTGCTCGCTTGTGGTGCGCTTAGGCGTGGCTATAATACGATTACAACGCCTTGCTAAGGCGTCGTAATCGGATTAGCTTGGTGCCCCAGCAGCATGATGACGGCGCCCACAGACCTTGCTTGCAAACGTGTATACAGGTTTGCAAGTAGGGCCTCAAAGCGCCGCCGCCTTGCTCAGTTGGGGTGAGCTTGAGCACGTCATAATCCGATTATAACGCCTTGCCAATGCGTCATAATCGGATCAAGGTCGCGCCCAATTGCACCCCAATGAACAGATGGCGGCGCCCTGAGGCTTGTAAACGTGCGCAGCTAAGAGAAATAAGGCTCTCCCTTCTCACTTAAACAGACAGTGTTGCCAGCAGCAGCAGCAGTGGTTCCTTGGGACGTAGTTAAGCTGGTAGGCCAAGAGATGAACGTCTATTGCACATAGCTATTGTGCTCAAGAATACGCCTCTAACTGGTGTGTTTGTTGCATCCTAATCTATGTTCTCGCCGTTCCCAACTGGCTAAGTTACGGCAGTCTCACGCGTGTCATACTGTTGCCAGCAGCGATTCTGGTATAATGGCACAGAAGGGAACCTCTATGCAAAGCGAGCAAGTCCCTGTGCATCTCGCGCAGCGGGTACAATGACGTCACAGCACCAAGCACTAATTGGAAGAATTGAGGGTAGACAGAAAGTCTAGCTGTTTTTGTCTCCTTCACCTTTGTTTCTCCATCAGAGCGATCAAGATCGTCGTCTGCATATACCGCAGAAGGAGCGGTGCCGTTAGGGTCAGGCGCACTGATCTCTATTATAGGGGGCTGGATGGCGCTTAGCCGCTCTTCGAGCCGGGCGCGCATGAAGCCACCGGAAGTTCTGGTGCTTGTCCCGGAAGTCGAGCGTCTGCTACACTTCTCTGAGCTTCTGAACATATGAAGTCGCTGTTTTTGCCCGCGATTTTTTGAGGTCTAATTGTGACTTTTAGCATCGTACTGTTAGAATAGGACACTTGAATGTAAAACATCTAAATCTAATGAAGGAAAGTTTGAATAATTGCAAAGAAACAATTGTCAAAGCTGAACGCTGGGCTAGTTGGTATTGGGATGTCAAAATCATGGTAGCGCTTTTAGACGAAGACGAATAAGAGACAAGACACACACGAGCGCTCGTGTGTGTCATGTCTCTTCTTCGTCCTGGTCTAAAAGCGCTACCATGATTTTAAACAATTGTCACCGCTGTTTTTTTGGCTGTCGACAGAGGGTACGGTATACGGTAGCGTAATGGGGCAGTGTTGTGCAGCCTTTTTTGGCCTCCGGAGAGTAGAGAAGAATTGACCGCTCCTCAGCTTGTAACATCAGACTATACGGGTTCCGCCCTTCTATATTGGGTTTACGGCTAACCCGTAACGTCAGTAACTGAATGTGCGCGCGAAGTATAGTCACCATGAAGTGATGTTCTTAGATGTGCTAGAAGGAAATGCCATGCACGATTACATTCATGAGCAGGGCCTATACCTAAAGGCTCTAAGGGCTGGCTCGGACCTGACAGTTGCGTAGATATGCAACCGAGATACCTGGGCTTCGTACGCCGCGTGCCAGCTACTCGTAGGAATGTCCGGGCAAGCCGCGGGCGTAAGTCGCTGCACGTACCCGTAACGTAGAAAACAACTTTGTCAGTAAAGTGGTCTGCGCGGTATCCAGTAGCTTTAACTGCTTTTAGAGACAGGGAACCAGTCTGCAACCTCGCGTGGGGAGCAGCATATGCTGCAGCCTGCAATTATTATAAAGTATAATAGCTTTCTCAATCATTTTAACTGATTTCCTTAGTACTCTAAAAATAAATGTTGATTTAGGTTTAGCATTCTCTGGCCATAATACTATTACTAGAAATGACACCATATAAGAGCCCCATCAAAGGCCATTACCTGGTTGCTGGCCCTGGGGGCATACTAAATGTAAAAAAAAATAAAATTCTGGTTTAAAAAAAAACTGTTTATTTTGTGCAAAACTGACACGCTTGTCAGCAAGTTTCAAACAGCTTGGTTTTTACTGGTGGTTGAAAAGAATCAGTTTGGTCAAGCGCTTACGCATGTTCGGACCAGCGATCTTCATAGTTGCTCTTTTTGCAGCATGGTGCATCCTTATCTTTATGTAGCATCCAATGACACATTTCACGAGGCGAACAAAATGATTTGAATCGACTGCGGATTGGAACATGTGCTCATGTAGCTCTGGATAGAGCATGTTTAATTGCCCCGAAAGCTCCCTCATAACTCTGGCTGTCAGAGTGTCGGCAGTCATCCCTTTCTTGGGAAAACTGCCACCATCCACCTTCTCCTGCTGTCGAACTACCCGTTCCGCCAGCTGACAGATGTATGTTGTGGAAGGCGATGGCTTGGTCAGGCCACCAGAATTTTTTCTGTTCAGAAGTGCTGACGAGCACGCCTCAGCCTTAGATGCTGAGCGACACGTTGAGCAAGGTATCTTTTTTTCAACCATTCGGCATACAAACCCTGCGATGTAGCCTACAACATCTCCCAAGTAGGGTGAAAGCAGAGGAAGATTTTCAAGTTCACCTTCCATTTCACTCTCGTCAGGGAGGTCTACGCTTTGCGCAAGGTCTTCTGTATCATTTTGCTTTGCTGTAGTCATGTCCAGTTCATGAGGAGCGCAGAACTGACTGCTCACATACAAAATCCGTGTTTTATCTAGTAAAGCACAGTTTCCCACGCCACCTTTTACCTCATTGTGGACAACCAGTCGCTTGTACGCTGCTATGAACTGACGCACAGTAGGGTTATTGTTCCAGCCTCCCTTGGAACGAACGGCACCAAAGAAAAGCTCAATGTGGTCCTGCGAAAGCTTGTAGGTCAGGAGGTAGCGCAGTGGTGGGGTTTCACCAAAAAGGAGGGAGGATGCAAGGCCGATTGTGCTTTTAATGGTGATCAGGAAACCAAGAAAAGCAGTTTGCCTTGGTGTGTCGAAGATAGGTCTTTCTGCAGCATCAGTGAGTGCTCTTATATAATCCTTGGCTTTCTCAAGAAAAGAAATCCAAGTGCCTCTGCTGCCAGGTCGGAGAGGAGCCTTGAATCCCTTAGCGAGGGGGTTACGCGAGTTTAAGCAATCAAAGAGTCGATCAAAGAGCCGGATGAATTTCACAGTTGCTTCCGATCCCTTGAATTGTGGGAGTTTCAGATCTTCCCGGCAGAACTCTATGGCATCTGCAACACTAGAGCTCAAGGTCTGGGCAGCAAGATTAACCTTCATTTTTTGCTTCTGCCAGTCAATGTGTGCAGCACGGAGCTTTGTTGCAGCATGCAGGCCTTTTTTCTCCTGGAGCTCATACAGTTGTCGGATGTAGTTCCATTCTACCAATGAGCCGGTTGAATCTCTGAGCCACTTCAGTGAAGAGATAGCATTCCGCACCAGCTTTATCATGTGACATGCATCCAGAAAACAGTATACCCTCCCGTCTGTGACAGGGTGAGGGAATGATGTCACCATAATCGATCTGTCTTCAAGTGAAGCCCCCAAATTCATGAGTATTGTAAAGTTACAACGGAGTCCGTCACATGTCAGCGATGTTACACATGCTCCTGCATCATGCAATTTTGTCAGACACAGTTTGACTATGTTTGTGCGTTCCTTTCCTGAAAGTCCATTGATCAGAAAATATCCGCAGGGGATCTTCCAGTGTGCATCCAGTGATACAAGCATAAAAACGAGGGCTTCAGTAGCGACATCATTGCTGTCATCATCAAGCTCGTTACCAATGTCAACATAGCCCCTGCACTTTTTTCCATCCCATTCTATATGTTTTCTGATCACCATCTCGTCAACGACAAGGTTGCAAAGAAGCTCCTTGTTTTTCTGCTTCACTTCGTTGGCTTTTGCCCGGATGGCATCCATAGCTTCACCTGTAAAACCAGGTTCTCCATTTAGAGAACTGTACCACTTGGTCAACGTTGATGGATGTGGCAAGGCACATTCAAAAGTCTCTCTTACATAGTTGTACGCTTTAGTTGAATAAAACTGCAGCGTGAGCGCAAACATACGTAGTGCAGGCGAGTATTTCTCTCGGTTTAGCTTAGCCAGCTTGTCACTTCCGACCGGAGTTTGTTTGAGCAAACGCTGCATCACTGCTAGGGAGACTCCTGAGAAACATCTCTCAAGCATAGCACTAGCATCTTCTGAAATTAGCTGTTTCTTTCTTAGGTCTTCGATAATTTCACTAAATGTTTCTACTCTCCTCTTCAGTCGACGTTCTCGTTGCTGACTGAGTTTGAGCTTTTTCTTGGCATTGGTTGCAGCAGTTGCACAGGCATCAAGCTTCCTTTTCAGGGTTTTTGGAGTGTCCTTGACAGCATAGTTGTGCTCGGCAACCTGAAAACAATGCATTTGATAGATTAATATTATGCAAGTGTAATACATAACTGGACTGTGCATTGCAACCACTTAAAATGTTAGCAAAAGGATTTGGTATCTAAATGCTGCTTCCCCCACTCCTCCTTGATGCTTAATCTCTCCTTGCAGCAAAAGAAAAATATAGAGCATGAAAGCCTTTCTTGTCTACTACTTACGGTGTCTCTGCATTGAGGCAGTTTGCTCAAAAGTAAGCTTACATCATTTGAGGCCGTTTGTGGTGTACTCGGCGAGCCGCTGGCTTCCCCGTCAAGTAGTGTCGCATCCAGGTTCGGAGTTCTCAGCTTTGGTGGCTTCCTTGTCGCAGTTTTCTGAAATAAGCATGTAATAAACATGTTCTGTTAGACAAATTAATCCTCACCGTAAATGCAAGACATTGCAAAAATATTAGCATATAGATAATATTTAATCATTAGCTATTAGCACATGCTACAAATGGCATCTATAGTCCCAGATATTTATATGCCTTTTAATAAGCCAGCAATATTGGATCTTATCATCTTCGAGAACTTGCTGAGACATTACCGGAAAAGTTTGTGATTATACATTACATCAATCAAGGCGGAACTATTGCTGCTATGTCACTTCCACTGGGTCAGTGAATTTAACTTATTGCTTGATCAAAATTTCTGTTGTTCCTTTTCCCAAAAATGCCTGTTCGCTTTTCAGTTCCTACATGCGCTGCCTGCTGGTCCTGCTGTTATGCGCACTTAGCCACAAGGCATCTGCAGGCACATTAGCAGTGTGTCATCAATTATAGCCTTGAAGTTGTTTGCTGAGGAACAGAATTTCACCTGTGCGTTGGGAAAAGTTAAAACGCACGTGGTTTTGCAAGACAAACGTCAATACGAACTGCCTCGCCCAAGCAAGATGCGACGACCTGAACTTGCACCCAATCGCGCGTACATCATGCACGGCACAACTAGAACGGTATCCACGCTACTCCTCGTTTACCGCCTGAAAAAGGCAGTCCTACCTTTTGCAGGTGTTCTGGGAAGTTGAAGAGCGTCGGGACTGCGCCGCTTCGCAGCCGGGTTCTGGCTCCTGTTCGGTCGAAGCACGAATCATCGAAGTGGTCGCTGCAAAGTCTGCTGCCGGGAGATGGTTTCCACTTGTCCCTTTTTAAGTTTACGACCCATTGCTGGTACAGTTTCGGCTGACAGCGCGGAAACCTGCATGAAGGAGCCATGTGGCAGCGCCGGTTCTTGCTTTGATCAACCCGAGCTAGAACTGAAACTGCGTGCCACTTGGCCGCGTAACACTGAGATCAACGAAATACATACTTACAAATGAAACGTCTTGCCTGAGGTCTTCTCCGGCCTACTCGTGCAGTTTACCGCAGAGCATGCTGGCATGCTGGCGTCTTTAAAAGGTTGGAAAGGATGGAAACTACAAGCGCCAGCAGCCTAGAAACCACGCGCGAAGAGCAGACCGCTACTCACTTCCGGGACAAGGCTGCTCGCTTCCGGTGGCTTCATGCCAGCGTGCTCGATGCGCCATCCAGCCCCCTAGTGTAGAGATCAATGGTCAGGCGTTCGGGCGGCGAACGCCGGCGTCGTCTGCTTGTCCTAGCTGGAGTCTGTAAGTACTCTAAGTACATTGAATTTCTCTGAAAGAACTTGTACTTCACTCGAGCTGTATTCGCTGGGTATGTAATTGCATTCCACTTAATTTTTTTTTCTGGTACTTTCCTACGAAAGTACAACTCTTGGCTTCAAAGTACATTCGCCAAAATTCATCTTGTTAAATTTGTATAACAAAATTATGCTTTGTCATCTCTGAAACAAGTATTAATGTGATATTGTTTTTTCGCCAGAAATGCGAGCAGACGACGCATCGCTCCGTTTGTAGGGAGGCGCGCGCTTTGGGCCGCAGCATTTCAAACTCTCGCTAATTCTCGCTCGATCAGCGCAAGCGAGGAGCCTAACAATATTAGGGGAGGACACGAGGGGTTTGCTTGAGGAAGCTACAGGGTTGACGTCGTACTCTCTCCTATACGGTTGAAAAAAGCAGAACAAGCTCCTACAACAAAGCCTTCTATTCTTTCCACCCAGCAAAGCGAACGCTCGAAAGGAGGCGAGAGCAATCGAGGAGAGACTTGCTGCCTTTCCGGCCTTCGCTCTGTTAAAGTCAAAAGAGTGAAGGGCTTTGTGAGGAGAGTTTGTCCTGCTTGTTTTCTAACCTGCAGCAGGTGCAATACGTTTGGTACCCCTGGGTGGAACGAGCCAGTGCAAGCGGCGCCAAATTCGGAAGTCGGGGGGACCTCTGAATTTGGCGCCATTTCCGAAAGTAACTACTTTGTGGCCACTTGACTTAATCTAATATTCGCCGCCACTTAGAAAAAGAAAACCAAAACACTGTATAGGGGAATGATAGGGGTTCATAAAAGATTGTGTTAAAAAGTACTTGTACTTTACTTTCAATGCATATTGTATCCATTATAATTTACTCTATCTACGTTGCACCTTGTGTACTACCACTTTACTTGAAGTGCATAATCTCTAATTTACTTTGTGCTTTACTTCAAGTACTTTTAGATGTACTTTACCCATCTCCGGTCCTAGCAATGGCCGTTTTACATTTTCTACGGCATTCGGAAGTCCACTGATTCTTTCAGAGCAAGGTCTTTGTCGGCAACCTACCACACACATGTACACACACAATGTGTGTCCGTGTGTGGAAAGCGATGAAAAAACAAAGACAAGAATAAAAGTAATAAAAACTATAGTCATATACTGCTTAAACTGTCACAGATTATATGAGGGTTCATGGGGTTTAAATCTGGCACTAATTGTCAAGAGAGGAGCCTGTAAATTCATTCCGCTCGAATTTGAAGGCTTTGAGCGACTATGGAAACAGCGAAGAAATCCGACGGCTTAAAGCCTTAGATTAGGGATCCACCATGGCGAGTTGAACTGCCGCAAAAAGGATCAGGGTGCTCCCAACCCCCTTTATTTTTTTAAAATTTTTGCGCATCGCGATGTGGCGGCGCCGGCGAGGTTCTCTGCAAATAGCCCTTATGTTCACAAGCCGTGGACATTTATAGAACACGGTGCCTGTAGCTTTCTACGATTAAAAGTAATGACATGGAGGCTTCGCACACCAACCTCCTCGTAATTGCTAGCCCAGCTGTTGTAGATGGCCTTGGTTTCCTCGGGAGTGCGGTCGTCAACGACGAAGTCCACGATGTCTGAGCGGTCGAGGGAGCTGGTGGAGGGCATCTTGGCCATCTCTGCCTTGTTCTTGCTAAACACAACAAAACAAGCAAAAATAAAAAAACAAAACAAAAAACCTACATAGGATTCAACGTAAAAATCCTACGTTTTCGAGTGTTTTTCGGCCGTAAACAAAATTATACGAATAAATCAATAAACTGAGTGCAATTAATTTTTCCCCAAAGGTGTATTTAGGTGGTGCGTTAATCACAAATCAAATTTTAGAACAAAATTGAAAAACATTTTTTTTCTTTTATGTTAGGAAGAAATACATAAGCGAAATTCGGGTTGGCGCTGCTACTTACAAATGGCACCGCATGGTACAGAAACTTGAAATATTGATAGATATAGAGACCTTAAAGAAGATCCAGAAGATCCGAGCGTGTCTGGTATTGGTCTGGTACGATAATCTGGTATAATGATTAGAGCGGCATGCTGGCATCTATTTGATTTTTTGGGGCCTAGTGTATTTTTATTTTCCGCAGTTTTTCCGCCAAGGTGTGTATGGGAACTAAGGCCTCGTCAGACTGCAGTAGCAGCTTTTTGCCCTCTTTTCCATCTTCTTTTTTATTTTGTAATGAAAAAAGGAAAATAAAAGATTATTATTATTATTATTATTAACATGCGAGTTGTAGCGTCCACCAGACGGTTTGTTTTCTCTTTCTCCCATCGCTTAAGACACATGAAGTTTGTGTATGGTTCCATATTTCTACAGAATAGCTACACTCGCGAAATCTGAGAATTATAAATGCACCACTTAAAGGGAAGCTGAAACACATCTTTTAAAATAATGAGAGAGAAGTTGATTTTAACGTAGTTTCATCCCGTGAATCAAAATATCACGTTCGTTTTCCCTAAAGATGTAACTGAACGCGAGAAGACACTAAAAACCCATGAACAGTCGTTACGCCATAAGAGGATCTTTCGGCGGCCAAGAGCGTGTCGGTCGAGGGCCACGCGTGCAATCGCAAGCTTGCCATGGGTATATAGCAGACATGTACAAATCACTCAAAAAAGGTAGTTAAGTTACGTTACTGAGTATCGACGCCAAAAGTAATTGGAGTAGAGTAGAAATTACGCATTTTTAATAGTAATTGAGCAAACTACTAACTACTGGAAAAAGTAGCGAGTTACTTTGAAGTTACTTTCGAAGTTACTTTTCATATTTTTGTGGTAGCAAAATGGACTGCAGTTTTGATTAGTGAAAAACCCTGCGAGCCTAAAATAAATGCGGTCATTTTATGACTTCGAAAATAGTTTATTCGCTCGCAGAAGTAATTGTCTTTTACAGTTCTTTTCGGAAAGTTTTCCCCTTTTCCTTCTAATGACGTCCCCAGCCAAACTAAACAGACGTTCCACCGTGGCGCTGGATGCAAAGGCCGCGTTCAATTTCAGAAACAGGCTGTGCAGGGTCGGGTAAGCGAGTGTCAGCATCTTTGGTGTCCATGACGAAACATGTGAGGCTTGCCCCGGCTAGAGGGTTTTTTATAACAAACTCGCCTTTTTTTATTTTTTCTTCGGCAAGTTGAGTTTGTTATGCCTGGCCCCTCTTTATTCTCACGACGTTCGGAGAGTACGCCGAGCGAGTGCACCTGACCGTCAAGGGATCAAGTCTCGCGCCACGACGATGAGTCATCCGGACGACTGCGCATCTCGTTGCAATGTTAGGGCTACGCAACTGAAAAGAAAAAAGCTTTGATTTTACAGAAAAGTGGTTCCAACAAAACGATCTCCCAACGGTGACTTGCAATCCTCGCCGGCGACTATGGTGTCTTGACGCGTCTGACAAGCCTGACAAGTAAAACGTTTTCAACAAAAAGGAGCTCTCCCTGGTGTGGAAGGTCGGAAGGACGCAAAGGATTACGTGAACAACCATCGGCGCTCGTACAGTTGCAGCTGGAAGCGGGAACGTGCTCCCATGAACGGATTATCCGTGTCTGCGTTTGTGCGCGGGGGAGTCCCGCTTTGCAAGGGACTATGTGCTGACGACGAGGCGACCATGAGAACAGGCGCCCAGCTGCGAGGTCATCCCTGTGGCGCCTGCCGTGAAACCTACCACATGAGTCATAACTCACTAAATTCAGACAACATGAAAACAACGCCTGCGTGCATTACCAGATTAGGTCAATACCCGACCAAGGCTTGTTAAGCATCTATGCCTGCGTTCGTGCGCGCCGGTGTTATGTTTTGGCTGCTCGTCGCAACTTTGGCCCAAGGACGCCTGTGATGCAGTTTCTACGACGTGGGAACGGACTGTGAGAGGGCCCCTAGTTCGGGAATCCCATTTCATCTGCCAGGGTCTTATCTATTTCTGTGCTCAAACTTTTGTGATGAAAAAAAAATTAGCATTAGATTTCGAAAGTAGTTAGTAATTCGAGTAGAAGTTACCTGAAAAACGTAGTTAAATTAAACTACTAATTACCCAAATCGAGTTGTAATTGAAAGTTACCAAGTTACTCTGAAAAGTAGTTAAACTACAGTAGTTTGAGTAGAGTAGTTGAACTACGTCCAAGTCTGGTATATAGACGCTTTCAGCGAGTCAGTTACTCGAGCTGCCACCAGTCGGCGCGCCCTTCGCGCGCTCTCCGGGCCGCCATAGCCGACCTTCAGTTTCTCGCCGTTGCTCCGCGTTGTGTGCTGCACAGGCCCCTACCGGAGCTTCTTTTTCGTGTTCATTTATGTTCCGCGTTGAAATCTTGCACTTTCTTTGGGTCTTTCCGCTATTTAGAACTTTCATTTAATCATTTGATATTTATATTTTGATATAGCTCTTGTATTTTCTTATTTATGGAATGGAATCGGACAGCGAATGGGTCGACGATACTTATGAAGCTTCAATGACCATGTAAGTTCATCCCATTCTTACGTTTTTGTCGCTAATAAAGGGCAGCCAACACTATTGCGACATATGTGAATTGCAACTGACGCAGTAAGGCTATCGCAGTCGTGCTTCTCGCTGCATGTGCGCGCTCGTTTCCGTAAAGCCGACCCGCATGTCAGCAATTTAGCGTGCGACAAAACGAGCGACGGAGATTTTTTTTTTTTTTTTTTACTTACAAATACTGTCGTTTGTTGCATCGCTCGTTTTTTGGGGTTTTTAAAAAACGTCGCTCACCGTCTTGGTCGCTTGCTCCGTCACTTCCATGCGGTTTTCCTCGTCGCGCGACTGACTGAGCGACAGCAAAGCGGGTCGCCGTCGCTTATCTGGTCGCTCGCCAAATCGCTTACATGCGGTTTATACTCAATTAATTTCCATGCACACAGCAGTGAACCATTGGCGCCTCGATATTAAGTATAAACCGCGTGGGAGCGATTCGGCGAGCAACGAGACAAGCGACGGTGACCCCCTTCGCTGTCGCTCGGGCAGTCGCGCGCCGAAGCAAACCGCATGGAAGCGACGGGAGCAAGCGACCAAGACGGTGAGCGACGTTTTCTAAAAACCGAAAAAACCGAGCGATGCAACAGGCGACAGTGAGAAATCTTCGTCGCTGACTCTCGTCGTTGTCGCCGTCGCTCGTCTCGTCGCACGCTAAATAGCTTACATGCGGGTCGGCTTTACGGAAACAAGCGCGCACATGCAGCGAGAAGCACGACTCGATAGCCTTACTGCGTCAGTTGAAATTTTCATATGTCGCAATGTTGTTGACTGCCCTTTATTAGCGAGAAAAACGTTAGAATGGGATGAACTTACATGGTCTCTGAAGCCATAATCGTGTATCGTCGATCGGTTCGCTGTCCGATTCTATTTCATAAATAAGAAAATACGAGAGATATGTTTAAATATAGATGTCAAATGATTAAATGAAAGCCCGAAATATCGAAAAGACCTAAAGAAAACACACGATTTCAACGCGGAACGTAAAAGAACGCGAAAACAAAGCTCCGGTAGGGGCCGGTGCAGCACACAACGCGGAGGAACGGCGAGAAACTGAAGGGCGGCTATGGCGGCAGGGTCACGTGACGCCAAGATGGCGGCGCCCATGAAATGTTGTCTGAAAGGGTCTATACACCCGCACTGGCACCAGTCGTGACGTCTTTTTCAGCCCTTTTTAAAAATATCAAGAGCGCGCGTGCAGAGCTTTGACAGGCACTGAAAATGCGCAAGAGCTGAGATTCCGAAAACTTTTTTTGTGACGTCACGCTCCAGGAAGGAGGGCCTTCAGCGGTACTTTGAAAATAATTTCCTGCAGCCTCCATGCAAAAAAAAGAAAAAAAAGATATTTAAGATTTTGGAGGTTGAATGAAGACAATGGAAGTGTGTTCTCAAACACAAAACTGCCTCAGGTTCCCTTTAAGGACTTCTTAGTGAAAAGTTTCATTGTACTCAGTTCATTGGCTTATTTATAGGATTCTTTTTTAACGCCGGAATAGCCCACGAGAACAGCCTGTATAGTAAACACCCTTAAGATAATTGCCTTCTGGGCGCTGCCATCTTTGTCTACTGGGCTGTGGAACGTGTCTTGAGCATGCGCAGTAGCTCTCTGCTGCGGAGCATCAGACTCCGCTCGTGCGTCCAGAACCCGTGACTCGACAATTTTCGCGTGGGCGATAAGCGCTAGAAAGGCGTGTGCTTTGTCTCTGGAGCGCCATACTTAAGATAATTTGAGATATGCGGTCGGAAACTTTGCAGGCAGAATAAAAACACAATGAACACGTAACGAAATCCAGACAAAGACTACACGGTCTACAATGTTTGTGTGTGTGTGTGCACTCACGTATATAAACTCATTCTTGATTCAGGAGACCATGAAACAAACTCGGGCTCAAATCTTAGTGACTGCGTAGGGCGGAGTGAAGCACGAGAGCATTTGTACATGAGGACCAAGGGGACGCAGAAAACTAAAAATCGATGTGAAAAGAGGAGATAAAAAAAAGAATGATAAGAACGGAATTATTGTTTAGTTTTTGTCAGAAACACTCCAACACTTTCTATACTCCGTTCACCCGTAAGATGAGACTAGAAGCTTCGCCGTCAGTACGAGCTTTCTTCCCTTGCTAACGCAAGTGGGAACGCG